GAAGTGTTTCTGTTGCAATTTTGCCTGCATTTCTTTCCTAGGCCAATGGATTTATCTACCATCAAAAAGAACATTGAGAATGGGCTGATCCGAACCACGGCCGAGTTCCAGCGTGATATCATGCTGATGTTTCAGAATGCAGTTATGTACAACAGCTCTGACCATGATGTGTACCACATGGCTGTGGAGATGCAGCGAGATGTCCTGGAGCAGATCCAGGTGAAGTACTGAGCTAAAGCCACTGCCTTGATCCATAGGTGTGGGTGTTGTTAGACCACAGTTTCACTCACAGTGTGTCCTGTCCTTCCCTGCCTCTCTCTCCTGCTAGCTCAGGTGTTTATGTTGAACAGATTAAAAGTAACACAGCAAACTTTTATAGGTTCAGCCCAAACCAATTTCAAATGTAATTTCCTTCAGGGAAATGCTTAGGCCAGCAAGAACCAGGGTGTGGTTCAGGAACAGACAAACAACAGGAATGGTGAATGACAGGGACGTGACAGCTGCTTTGGGTGGTTGTGCTGGTTTGTGTTGATATAAAGTGTACATGAAACTATCCTGGGAATTTATGCTACTTAAAATGTCCTGTGAAGCAGAATGTCCCACTGGCAGGGGAGTCCAAACTGGGGTTTTATAGCTCCTCAGGACTTGTGGCTTCTGAGGTAAATAGGGGAACTTATTCTGAACAGCAGACAAGGAACTGAAACTGCCTCTGACCCAATCATTCCCAGCCTGTGGTCTGTGATAGCTAACTGACAGGCACTTACTGAGCTTGTTTTGCCTGATAATCTCAACAGAGTGTGGTTTTTCTTGCAGCAATTTCTGGCCACACAACTGATCATGCAAACATCAGAGTCAGGGATCAGTGCAAAGAGCCTGCGTGGGCGAGACTCCACTCGCAAGCAAGATGCTTCAGAGAAGGTGAGAGTGCTGCACCCTGTGGAAGAGCACTTGGGATCTCCCAAAGAATCCCAAGATACTGCATGACATTCCCACACCAAAGAGGCAGAATGTTTTTTGAGGTTGCAATGGCCTCAGCATCTTCTTGTGAACACATTTTCTTTAAATGTATCCATTGATTAGATTCAGTCTTGGAGCTGTACAGCATTCCAGGGGCAGGTTGCATGAGGTTTTGCTGTAATCCCAGTGGTTCTATTCCCTGGTTTTAAAAACAGGTGATGAAAACTGCAGGGAAATGAACAGAATATTGGAAGAAGTGTGATATAGCAGGAAGGTGAAGGGAATTGCCATGTCCTTCACTTTCTAGCCAGGTTTTTAGAGCTAGAGAATGAGTCAGCTCTGGATTGCTGTGTAAAACACACCAGAGAACCTTTGGCTTCCACACTGATCTAAGCTGATAGCAGTAAAGGTTTGTTTGGAGTTTTTCTTCTCTAAAGACACATCCAGACTGATCCCAGGTGCTCTCAGCTGATGCACACAACACTGTGCCAGCAGGGACTGCCTGCTTAGTTCTAGTGGCAGCTGCACTGTGCAGATACTGTGTGGTACACCAGGCCTTGCCATGGCTGAGGAGGGAATATCCCTTTCCTAGCATTCTGACTCTTGCAGTATCCCTCTTTTTGTCTGTTTGTATGTTTCTGCTGCATAAGACTGATGCCATGTTGGAAGGGGAGTGGGGCACATGTTTCTCTATGCTCCTGTGTGGGCTCAGTGCTTCTGTGTGGTGTGTGCATTTCCGTAGCTGATGCCTGATTAGTCCTTCTGTTTGGCCTTTTAACAGGACAGTGTCCCAATGGGCTCTCCTGCCTTCCTTCTCTCTCTCTTTGTAAGTATTGAAAGGCTCCAGCAGGTGCTCTGCTCCTTGTCTGGGTGATTACTGCACTGTCACAGCATCCTTAGCACTGCAGCAGGGTGTGTTTGACTTGGGGGCTGCACCACTGTCACCCTGAGAGAGGAAACATCTCATTCCCTTACTCTCAGCCTGGGTGAGTGGGAGGGGCTTCAGTCTTCTCTAGTTCCAAGTGTTTTCCTTTTGTCATCTGCTTTTGCTTGATTTCCACAACTTCTATCCTGCTTTCTTTCCATGTTAAGTGGGAAGACAAACCAAGTGGTGCAGTCCTGTAGTTCCTACATCTCTCATGTTTATACAGCTGCCCCTTCCACACATCTGAGGCAGTACAAAATGTCTTGAGAGAGTGAGGAGTCAGCTGTGTCCTCCTGTATCATTCCTGATTCAGAGAGCAAATAAGACACTGCACAAAAATATCTTCCTCTGTGCCTGTGGTGATCTGGAAGTGTTTGGAAAAATATTCCCTCTGGGAAAACCGCAAGGCTCTGAGTTGCTGGGAGGAGAGAGGGGAGGAAGATGGAGAGTTGTTTTTTTCTCTCACCGGTGTCTAAAGACAGAGGAGTACTCCGGGACAGTCAGCAAGTCAGCCAGAGGGAGAGGGCAGCGCATCCCAGGAAGCTCTCAGCTCGCCTTCTGCTCATGGAAAGGAGCTGTGCGGAGAAACTAGGGATAGTGCCAGGGTCACTCAACTGGAGGAGCACTTCCCATAGGGATCAGCAGCCGATAAGGTAGGTTAGTCAGCAGTTTCCTCTTCCCACCTTAAGAGACAAGCTAGAATCTGCCCTTTAGAAGAAAGCCTGCACTGCCCAGGCTCCAAAAGCTCCTGCCTGACCAAGAGCCACATTGCTTCTCTGCAGTGCACAAAGACGCTGCAAATCCCAGCACTTTGCTGTGTCCAGAGCAAACTTTAGGTAGGTCTGCAGGCAGGCCATTTTTAGGGATAGCTTCCCTTTGTCCCGATTGGAAGGCAGGAACAGTTGCTGGCAGTGCAGCATTCCCTCCCTGCCGCGGCACCGGTTGTGTAACTGTGTGTTTGCCTTGTGAGCAGGACGGAGGCACCAGGGGGCGGCGCTGCGCCATCGAGGCTGACATGAAAATGAAGAAATGATGCTGCAGGCAGACAAGAGATTCCCAGCACCAGGCATCCAGAGCTGGAGCACAACCAGGCTGCTCTCAACAGCTGTCGGAGGAGGAAGAAAAGCAGCAGGTCCATTTCCAGCACCTGCTTCACCTTCTTGGCTTTGCCCCTCTGGAAAGCAGTGTCCTGTTGGAATGTGTAACCCAAAGAAACTTCCCCAGAGGGGAAGACTAGCCCCCCCTGCCCGTTTTAGGGCAGTTGTCTTGGGCTTCATCAGTGTTCTGGTGTTAGCTAGCAACTGGTGGCTCGTATGTACTGTAATGTGAAGTGTACAGATTTTTACTAGTGATGTGTAAATGTGATGTATATTAAAATCTGGGAACAAACGCTGTGTGCAGTGTGCTGAGCATCACAGCTCTCTGCAGGGAGAAACCTTGTGTTGCAAGCCTGCATACCCACCTTGAATATCTGCAGACAGAATTCTCCAGTTACCCATACAGCACATGCATGACAGAGCTTTGGCATTAGAGAATCCATTAATCATGGGAATGTTGTGCTTGGATGGAGAGGAAGATTCCCTACTTGAGTATGTGAGGATACAGCACCTTTGTGATGACACAGGAGATCTAACCAGGAAGAGTTCAATCCTGCAGTCATGGAGTTTCCCTTGAGAGAAAATGTATTGAAAAGTTCTTTCCCCAGAGATTTGTGAAGGCTACAATAGTCAGAGGGAAAATCTGTGCTCCCAGCAGCTGTAGGCAGGAGTGCCAGCACCTGGTTCCACAGCTGAGCTTGTGCACTGCTTCTACTGGAAATTACAGTCTTTTTCCCTCAGCAACATGAAGGTTTAAGTTCTCTTTGAGAATTTTTTGCTCACCTTCTTCTTTTCCACCCATATGATCTGTGAGATGAAACTTGCATGTTTTCTGCCCCCAACAAGCTTCTACAGAAAAAAAAACCCACCAACAAAACATCATCCTCAATGCTTGCAGCAGCTGGGAGTGCTCTGCACTGTGCAGCATGTACAGGGTGCAGCCTCCTGGCACACAGGTTTCAGGAAAATGAGTCACTGGGATTAAGACCAGAAAGATTGTTACCTTAACCTAGTAAGAGGTCTTGATTTTTCACAAGTTGAAGTTGGCTGTGCCTGCTGTGCTGAGTCCCATATATGGCTGAGGTGGATTTTCACCAAGAGTCACCTTACTGATTTGGGAATGCTGAAAATCTATTGGTTATTGGTTAATTGTCCTTCACTACTAAACCTGGGAACAGATTTCTGGTTGGAATTTTTGTGTTCTTAGTTTCCAAGGATTATAGGTCCTTATTTCCATAGCACAAAAACTTAGAGAGTTCTTTTTCTTTCAGGTATTTTATGGAATGGTTTAAGCTGAGGACAAACCTTTTGGCAGGGTCTGTTGTGAGAGCACATGGTGTTAATGGTTCTAAATTAAAAGAGGGTCAATTTAGACCAGATGAAGATTATTTTTCAAAAATGAGGGTGGTGAGGCACTGGCACAGGTTGCCCAGAGAATCTATGGCTGCTCCATCCCTGGAAACATTCAAGGCCAGGTTGGATGGGAGCCCTGAGCAACTTGGGCTGGTTGAAGATGCCCATGGCAAAGGGGCTGTAACACCTTTGCCCTGCCTTTGTCCATGTTGGAAAACTGAAGGTGTAGCACATGAAAGGACCTTTATCATGCCCTTTAGGAACTTGCTTTCATCCTGGCAAACGTTGCTGTTCCTTCCTACCCTTGGTTTCTTCTCTCAACCAGGTATTTTTCTGTCAGCCTTTCCTCTTGTGCCATGACATTTTAATAGTCTTTCATGATGTTTAAGAGCTTTAAAACTCTCAGATAATGATTGTCTCTGCAGAGCCCCATTGATTCCTTCCCAATTCATCATCCCATGCTCTGACTACTAATTCTGTTCTTCCTAATACTTTGTGCTAATCTGTCTAGTACAGAGCTGAGGCTTTACTGTGCTGCATCTCCCACCACCCCCTTTTACAGACAGATAAAACCAGCACCCTTCTGGTTTTCCTCTGCTGTGGGTAACTGCAATGGCAGGTTACACAGCAAAGAGTTGGTCACATTGTATTTAAGCTTCTTTAGGACTCACAAGTGAATCCCAATGGATTCTAAGGTTTACTCCCTCCCTCAAATTGTCCTAAAACCTCCCCAGTTGACATTTTAATTAGAAAATGTCTCTCAGACCCATCCCAAGAGAAGGTCTCATATGATCTCCTCTGTGGCAAGTGCTGATAGTGATGATTAATTTGGTTTTTCCAACTGGCCCTGTTTTCCACTGAGAGGTTTGGCACTGCTCATGTGTCATCCCCACTGATCATCTGGCAGCTCTTTGCTTCTGATGTTTTTGATGAGGTTTTTTGTTTTTATTTGCTTTTATGTCTTTAGCAAATTGTTCTTTTTTTCACTTTTTTTTGCCTGCTTTATGTAGATTCTACACTTCATTTATTAGAGTTGAGACTTTTATCATTTTTCTAGTTTTGACATGTAAGTTCTTTTTAAAGACTTTCTGATTCCTACCAGCTTTTTCTCACATCAGCAAAGGTTGTGCAGTGTCTGAGCTCTGCGAAGTGAAGTAAAACTTTCCAATTTGAGGAAGGTTCCTTGCTAGTGACTTATGTAGCCAACATAATTAACAACTGTCAGGCAGTGCTTAATTAAACTTTGAAGTCTGTATCGTTTTGTCCCTTATTTTTGTCTGGAATTGGTGTGGAGTTGAGCAGTCTGGGATTATTCCACTCATCATGTCTTGCACTAATCCTGTTCTTCTGCTCTTTGGCATCTTGAGTCTTCCAAAACAGTAAAACTGAACATAAGGCTTAAGAGCTTTTTTTAATGGATGCTTATGCCCAAGTTCCCTGAGCTTCTTGATGTTAAATATTTATCCCTTCCAACTGGAGTACAGAAAGATGATCACAAGTGATCAGATTACCCTGGGCTAAGGCTTTTCTGTTCCTCAGATGAGCTGCAGTGCCCAGTTCTGTGTGTGGCAGCTCTGCTGACAGTGCTGAGATCCCTTTAGGCATGGGGTTGCTCTTCAGATGAGATCTGTTTGCCCAACTCCTGCAGCAGGAAGCTGAGAGCAAGGAATGTTATCTCCTACCTCATCAGATTTCATCTGCTTCCACTGAAGTTAACTTTGAAAGAGGTTTGGGAAGGACAAGCTTTCAGATCCCAGCTCTGCTTGCAAGTTCATTAAAAAAGCTAACCAGTTTTCTTGTCCCAAACCCAATGGATTCTTGTATTTCCCTCAGTTCTGCACCCTAAGCTGTATTAGAGCTGTGCTGGCAGCCCTGAGAAGGCAGAAGGCAACAAGTGAGAAACGTGCTGGTTCAAAACTCTGACAAAATTAGGTTGTACGTGATTAACCGAGAGCTCTCAAGACACTGTTAATTAATGCATAGAATTCTCCATAGGTGCAGTATCCAAGGCAGCTCCATTCAGTGCCAAAATATCCAACATCCTTTACTGTTGTAAGTTGGAACTCTGCAAGGAATTCCCCAGGCTTAGAGAAATCAGAGTGGACTCATGCAGTAGAAGACACTTAGGCATGGACTAATGAACAAATACTAAGTGAATGGTTTCTTCCTTCTTAAGAAAATCCTAACTTTTATGTTCTGGAATGTGTAGAACTGTCCCTGGGAGTGTGTGACTGCATGTGGTTATAACTCCTCTGGCTCAGGCACATGATCTATCACCATCCAGCTAACCCACACCTCTCACTTTCCAGAGTGTCTGTAAGGTTTGTAGTAAGTTATTTCCAAGATAAAAACGTCTCAAGGAGCAGCAAAGAGAATTCCAGTGAGTTGTCCTTGGAGTCAGTAGTTGTCCACAACAGTCAGCACATGAGGAGCCCCAGCAGAACTTGGTTTGAGCTTGTTGGATGCCTTCAGCACCTTAAACATGGAGCATCCGGCAAAGCCATGTGCTCCTAACCAGTTCAGCATCCTCACAAACCCCTGGGCGTGGGGGGAGCACAGCAAAAGCACCAGAAAAATGGGAATTCAGGTGCTCTGAAGCAGCAGTTTGGGAGACCTGCAGCCCTGCCACGTGCTGTGCAGTGGGGACTCAGGTGTTGGCTCTCACCTCAGAGTGCTTCCCGTGCTGTGGCTCTCCAAGGTGTCAGGAAATGAACTGGGCTTGGCACCTGTGGATCAGGGCACAAAGAAATTGCTGTCTCTCTCTTTCTGTTTGCAGACTGGCCATGCCTGGGTGTGGTGGGAGTCTGAGACAGAGCCTCTCAGCGAGTCAGAGAAGAACAGTGACTTCCAGTCACTTCTCAGCTGGGATTCCAGCTTGGATCTGGATGTGAGGAGCTGGAGAAGCACTGAAGAGGTGGCCATGGGGGAGCTAGAGGAGAGCAGCCAAGGGGCAGACTGTGAGCTGGAGCCGAGTGAGCCTCTCTGGGAGGATGATAACAAAGATTACCAAGAGGCAGAGAAGTCATGTGAAAGCCTCAGTCTTCACCAATTCCTCTCAGAGGTAGGGCTGTTTGTGTGACAAGAATATGGGCAGCATAGTTCAGGCCCTCCTGAAACACTGGGATTTTCAGGGCCTCCACCATCCCTACCCACAGAAACAGTCTGGGGAAGCAGCAGGGTTCACTCATTCCCTGTCCCAAGCCTATTCCTCCCTTTTGGAGCTGGCACTGCAACCAGGGAACTTCTCTGCCAAAACACAGCTCACCCTGAAGCACAGAAATGTCAGTGAACTGACACTAATAATAACACAAGGCTTCAGAAGATTTTTCAAGGATTCCTAAAAATGGAAAGGTGTTTGTGAGTGAAAGCAAAAATAGCATCTGTGATGTTTATTTCTTCTCCCTTTTGCCTTCCCAATTTGAAGTAATAAACGTGTGTGTTGCAGGTAACCCAGATGCTGGAAAAATTCTGCATTAACAGCACAGACTCAGCACAGACTCAGTGGGATTATTGTGGCTCAGGGAAACAGAATGATGGGGAAGATGTGAGGTGCCAGGAAAAGACCACAGGAACAGCAGTCCTGGGAGCAGAGGAAAATCAACTACACATCCTGGCAGAAGATGAGGAAGAACACTTCCCAGGAAGAGAGGTAGGGGAGTGGTAGTCCTAAAAGAGCCTCTGGTCCTGGATGAGAGACAAGACACTGAAGGAAACCAGCTCTCAAAAAGCAGGGGGAGTCCCTGCTCTGAGTGGGGAGACAAGGACACACAGGAGGAGGCAGCAGGGAGAGGAATGCAAAAGAGATGTCTGAGGGAAGGGTGTTTTTTCTGTATGGCTGTGTATCTTTATAAACAGGAAGCTTGTTGCAGATCAGAATCTCAGATGTGAGTTGGAGGAGTTGCTCCTTGGCAGTGCAAAGGTGACTCATGAGAG